CCTAGGACAACAGTTAAATGACACATGCTTTGCTGTGGCCATGGCATTAGGATTGGGCATCTCCCCTGGTGCTTTAGAAGTGGGCGATCATGGTGGAATACTCATCCCTTTTCTCTTCTCAGGTATCCAAGGAACATTAAACATTTCTAAGCAGCTTTATTTATATAACGCATTCTTTTGAAATCCTAGCATTATACAGACCACCAACAAAACGTGTCTAGGGGCCTGCACTGCATTGGAAATGAACATTTCTCAGCTGAATTCATCAGTGCTCTTCCTCAAAGGGCAGAGCCTGATCCCAGTGTTTCTACCCCAGGGCCTGGCCTTTAAGGTGAGCAAAGGAGATCCCAGGTCCATTTTGGCCGCTATGTCATCTAAATGTGTTCTGAGTGACCTTATTAGGAACAGTGGAGCCGTTTCTGGCTTTCTGTGGGAGATGACATACCCGAAGTGGAAATGAATCTCTCTGCACTGCAATGCATTGGATGCATAAACCATTATGGATTAATCTTAATAATAATAATAATAATACTCTTTGAAACCAACTGGGTAAATTGGGGCAAATGCAGGAGAGAAGTACCTGGGAGGTGGTGATAAGACAGAAGGAGGAGGTTTCTCAGGTTGGAGATGTAAAGGCCAAAAGGTGACTTCATATCCACATTCAAGATTAATAAGTTATTTAGAACAGAACTCATACTTCATAAGGGAACAGAACAAGTGGTTTAAATTATAGTTCTATTCTATAATAATAATTTACTGAAAACAAGATTGATGAAGTAGAGCCCAGCGTCTGCGGTTGACCACGCAGTGCAAACCCTGGCTCTCTGGATTATGAGGTTACCACTGGGCATGTCTGCTCAGTGGCCGCAAGACACCCTCATCGCAGACAGAACGTCCGCAAACCAGGAATCAGCCTCTTGAAGCCTGCCTCGTTGACACAAATATAAAGAGGCACCAGAACAGCATGTACTTATCACAAACTCCTCGAACACATGGGTGGAATGTCACTTACATAATCTGGCAGGTTGCAGTTGTGCCGTATGATCCCAACCCCGGCTTTCTTAAACCAGTAGAAACCTCTAAGGTCTTTTTCAAAAAGGCATCTTTCCATTTTCTAGTGGAGACAATGCTCACAGCATGAGTAACGTCCATCAGTTATCAGTCGTTTAGCAGATTGTGCCAGTGTTGACATTTGTTCTTGGCTTAATTGCCCGTGAGTGTGTGTTTTAAACAATGATGCAGCTGTCCCCATTCCTGGCAATTAGGATATAAAAATGGTGTTCACTGAATCTGGCAGAGTGATCAGTTATCCATGTGTTGACTCTTTCGTTTGCAAGGCCTTCTGAGTGTTTGCTGCAGTTCTGCAATCGGAATATAAATTCGGCTTAAAATGGAACCTAGATCCATATTAATAGCAACAGCAGGGACTGCAGACCTCCAAGTTTCAAGATCTTCCATCTCTGACTCCACCACAGATGCTTCTGTTTGTGTGTATGTTAAAGATACTTCTTTGACTTGCTGTGAGGATGGTGAGACTTAAAACACCATTAGGATTAAAAGAGCAGTGTTGGCAGAGGTGCACTGGACTATGGCTGATCATTGCAGAGCATCAAGTGATCCAAATATGTCCCGTAGAGAATACTGCCACAGAGTTCTAACTGTGGCTAATGTCAGCATCAGCCTTCACTGCTAATCTATGCGGGTGACCTGGCCACTGGGGAGAGTCAGTATCCAGGGTTTAAAACTGTTATTTTCCCTTGACTATTTTGGCTCTTGGTTCAGTGGGCTTTTTTGCTTAGATTAGCGAGTTAATGAGTGTCAGCTAAGGTGGGGACCAATTCCTTATTAGGTCATGGCAAGTCTGAATAAAATACCTCCGAAAAAATAACTTACCCCTTTGGAAAACCATTTGTCAGTAGTCGTTAAAGCTGAACATATGTACACTCTATGACTCAGCAGTTTCACTTCTGAATACCAATACCTAGCAGATATGCATTCACCAAAAGACATGTACTAGAAGGTTCCTGGCAGCAGCTACCCAGATGTCCATCCACAGTAGAATAGATAACTAAGTTGTGTCACAGACCAACAATGGCATACTATACAGCAATAAGATGGAAAAAACTATAACTGTATCTATAAACTATACACTATCTAAACTACAATACGCAAGGTATTAGTTTTCTATCGCTGTGAAATAAATTACCACCAACTTAGCACAAAACAACACACACTTACCAGCTGACAGTTGTGTAGGTCTTAAATCTGCACGCGGTGTAGCTGGGTTCTCTGTGGAGGCCCTCACAGGCTAAAGTTAAGGTGTAGGTGACTGGAGCTCGGGATCCTCTTCCAAGTACATTCAGGTCATTGGCAGAATTCAAGGTCTTTTGTGTGATTGGAGGACTCAGGCCCCCCATTTCTTTGCTGCCTGTCTGCCAGGAGCCAATCTCAGCTCCTAGGGGCCATCTGCATCTCTTGCTATGTGGACCCCTCTGTCTTCAAAGCCAACAATGAAGAACTTCCCGGGTGTCAATCCCTCTCATACTTCAAATCTCTTTCTCCAAGAAGATCCCAGTCCCTTTTAAGGGCTCATGTGATCAGGCCCACTGAGAACAGTCTCCCTATCCTAAAGCCAACTGATTTTGGCCTTTTTTTTTTTTTAAAGATTTTATTTATTTTATTTTTTCCCCCCAAAGCCCCAGTGGATAGTTGTATGTCGTAGCTGCACATCCTTCTAGTTGCTGTATGCGGGACTCGGCCTCAGGATGAACGGAGAAGTGGTGCCTCGATGCGCACCCGGGATCCGAACCCGGGCCACCAGCATCGCAGCGCGCGCACTTAACCACCAAGCCACAGGGCCGGCCCTGATTTTGGCCTTAATTCCAACTGCAGAATCCTTTTACAGCAGCACCCTAGATTAATGTTCGATTGAATAACTGGGAGGTGGTGTGTGTACAAGAGAGGATGAGGAATCTTGGGAGCCATCTTAGAATTCTGCCTACCATGCACAGCAACATGCCTGAATCTCAACCAATGGTGAGCGAAAGAAATCAGACACGAAAGAAGACATAATGAGTGATTCCATTTGTATAAAAGACAAGATCGGTGGAACTGATCTTTGCTGTTAGAGGTCAGAATATTGGTTACTCTCCAGTACACAGTAACTGGAAAGGAGCAGGAGAGGGGTCTTAGGGGCTGATAATGTTTTTGTTTCTTGATTTGTGTGCTGGTTACACTGGTGTGTTCGGCTTGTGAAAACTCAGGAAGCTGTATGTTTGTACAATAAGTTGGATTTATTACTTTATAATAGATTCGTTTTGTTTTTCTGAGGAAGTATGCATCCAAAGACAGCTATCAGGGTGGGTACCTGACAAGGGTGGAGGATAAGAAAGTTATGCCTGGAGTGAGGATGATGGTACCTCGAGATCTCTGCGGGTGAGGGCCAACTAGGTGAAAAGTTAGTATCTGTCAACTTGGACGTGTGTGCAGGACCCACTACATAATTTGTGTGACCCAGTTCAAAGTGAAGTGCAGGGCCTCCTTGTTCAAAAATTATTAAGAAGTGGAAGGCAGCAAGAGTGGAACATTAAGCCGAGGGTGGGGGCGGGGGGCAGGCACTGGTCCCACTCCCAGAAAGCCTGCCTTGCTTGTATGTATGGGAGAAAGAGCCACATCTCCGGTTCCAAAGACATCTTGCTAGGCAACGGGCCATCTAAATGTTTATGTGTTATTTCTTTAATTGGTTAAAAAGCCTACCCGCGACCTTGTGGATAATATTTATTTGATACCTAAACTCTTTATAGATAGCACAAGGTCCACATCCACCTTATGAATTAACACAAATTTCAAGTTTTTGGTGGAACCCTAATCATGAGATATAACCTTGCCTTCTCTGGTCTTTCCAGTTCAAAGGGCAAAATGTCAAGGCCAGCGTATTGGAGTCTGGGCGCTTCCCCATCAAAGTTCTTTTTCTTGCTGTGTGTGATTCGAGTTTCTGTTAAAGTTCCGAGTTGAACCCCTGACCTGACTCAAGAACCTCCTGGAATGGCTGGAGGGCCCTGGGAAGGGGTGCCCTAGACTCGTGAGGGCTCAGTGGTGAACGCTGCAGGCACGTGACTCCCCAGGCTCGGGGAGATTGCCGTGTCAGGATGACAGAGCTGTCCTTGGGCATACCGCGCAGGAGAGGTGGAGTTGGAGGAAAGGGAGAGCACATCTAGGGGTGAGGACTTCTGAAGATGCACGACCTTGGCATTGCTTTTCTGTGTTTATATTCCCTGGTGTGCACTCTTGAAGCACAAACCTTTCTAGACTTAGTGACTTACTAAAGCTTTGTGGGACTGTGGTACCCGAAGGCGGCCAGCTGCCTGACCTAAGATTTACGAGTGAGTCCAAGGATGAGACAAGGTCCCAGTGTCTCGGTGACAACAAGGTCTTTGATGAACAGCCGCGAGCTGCAGTTGGGGAGGGGGAGGAGGCCTGTGGCCGGGGCAGAGAGCCCCTGAATTTGCTTCCTGCAGGGTTGGGCCCCCGGGGCGAGGGCAGGCACCCTCGCAGGCCATCAGCATGCAGGAGCCGCGCGCGCCGTCCTTGAAAGGCTGCCCGGCTGACCTTGCTCCGCTTTCTCCGGAGAAATCTCCCGGAGAGCGCGAGGACGCGGCCACGGCAGTGACTCAGTGTCCTGCGCGCCGCATGCAAATACTCCCCTCCAGCAAGCCCAGGTCCGCAGCCGCGATTTCCCTTTCCTGCCTCCTTTTTTAATTCCACGTTCAAACCCGGCGTTTTCCACTCCTCCCTTCCCCCTCTCCACCGCCCTCTTGTCATTAGCCAGACTGTCCTGGTGTTTTGTCCCCCACCTCCCATCTGCAGAACTGAAGGCCAACCTTCGCGCTCCCTCGCTGCGGGCCCGAGGATCGGACGAGGCCCGCCCGGACAGGGCACCGCGCTGGGCGACCGCGATCCGAAGCCCGACCGCAGGGGGCGGTGCGCGACGCTCTTGGGCTCACAGGCGGACGGCGCCGGGGCCCCGCTCCCCATTGGCCGCCTCCTCGGCGGGAGGGGCCGTCCCGGTCTCGGGGCACCTGGTTGGCACTCCGCAGGGAAATCGGCGGATGCCGGGCACAGGCGCCCGGAGGTAAAGGCATCCAGAGGATAGGCCCGGAGCCGCGGCCGGGTTCCTTGCGGCCGGCCCCGCTGTGCCCGCCGCCCCGGCGCCAGCGACGCTCGGATGCTCCCTGCGCCTGCCGGACCAGCCACAAACTTTGCCCGGCGAAGTCCCCCACCCGACTGACCGAGCGGAGAGGCGCCTGGTTGGCCGCGCGCCCTCAGGGGCCCCGGAGCCCCGCGCGTGATTGCGGGGGGCCCCCAGCGCCCGGCGCCCGCCGCGCCTCGCAGTGCGCGAGCGGCCGCCAGGATGCGCTACGCGGACCCCTCGGCAAACCGGGATTTGTTGGGGAACCGAACTTTGCTCTTCATCTTCATCTGCGCCTTCGCGTTGGTGACCTTGCTGCAACAGATCCTGTATGGCAGAAACTACATCAAGAGGTAAGAAAGTCCGAGCGCCGGTGGGGGTGCGCAGAGCCCGCCGGAGGAGAGCGCCTGCCCAGCGCGGGCCGGAGGGGCCCGACAACTTTGTTCTGCTGTGAAAAATGGGGGACAGGTTGGAATTCCGAGGGCCAGGCTGACCCATAAATCCATTTGAATGTCCCGAGCAGCCTCAGGGGTCAGATCGGTGTCCCCCAAATCTACAGTGCCATGGCCATTTGGTTGGAGGGGAGGCTCCTGGCGGTGGAGGGCTCAAACCCGGGTAGGATTACCTCGTGATTCCTGAACTTTTGTCGGGGCTCTTGGGGGAAAAACATATTTTTCCCTCAGGAGCGTCGGGTTACGCGCGGGTGATAGTGGGCTAGGACGATGCGGTAGGGATAGTGAATTCGTATAAACTCGTAACCACCGGATCTGTGAAACTCACAGCCGGATCCCTTCTGAAACAGATGGTTCTTTCTCATCCTTGCGCAGGTCAGAGCTGCCACAGAAGTTAACCCTCCCCTCGTTGGGCTCTCCTCCCACCCTAAGCACGGTCAAACTCCATTAAGAGAAAGAGCAGTAGGAGGTGTCACTCAGAAACTCGGGCACCGCCTCAGCCCCTGTGTGTGCGGAAAATAAACTGAAATGCCAACCGTTTCCTTCTGCCCGCGCTGCTGGCTAAGGAGAAACGCTTCGCGTTCCTCCGCCTGGTTTCAGGGCGTGCGGAGAGCTGTGCCCTAAGATACTCCCATACCAAGGCCTCTTTGGAAAGAGCCCCCACTCCTTTATGCTGGAGGCTTTTTCTTTGGGGCTATTGTCTCTCTACGCTCACGGCCCCTCACCCCAGGCTGCTAGAACACAAAATTCCTCTCTGGCCTTATAAACATCCCATCTTCTCCAAACTTCCAAATAATGAAACATTTGTTCTCTTTTCATCCTTTGAGTTCCATATGAGTCGTTCGTGCCTCCAATCTGGGCCGCACACCAGGTGGGAGGGTGAGGATGGCTGCTGGGACTCCTGCTTGTAGGAAGAAAGCCAAGCAGTTAGGCTGTTTCCCCTCCATGTCCCAGAGCTGGGGAGCATGAGGCCAGCCATGCTCCCCAGTGTTGGGGACATTTGTTTGCAGCCAGCCACTGCTCCTGACCTTCCCAGACAGCATTCTTCCCTGGCTGAAGGCAGCTGATGAGCTCTGCCTGGTGCTGGCAGCTTTTAAAGGACATTTTTAGGGAGTCCCCTGGCTTGCTGGAACTCACTGGGCTTGCCACTTCTTTTGGTTACTGTGGCCCCCGAGATGACCCTCTGCAAGAACGGCTGGGCCCCACACGGCCTGCTGCAGCCTGGCCAGCCTCCGCCTGCTGCACTTGCTCCTCAGTGGGGTGGCTCTGGGTTCTTGCCCCCTGCTGGCACCTACCCAGAGCTGCTGGGGCTTCAGGATCCCTGCTGCCTTGTAACAGCGGGAGAATATCAGTGTCCATGGCAAATGCCAGCTCAACTACTATCTGCTGGCTCTGGCCGGCCCTCCCTGGGCTAGCTGGCTGGAGTTCAGCAGGCATACCAGTTGTTTCCCATCCTCCCTTGTACAGAGACCCTGATTCCTTAAATCTCATATGCCACCTGGCAGGCCTCACTCCAGAGACTCAGTTAATCCAGTCAAGCAAGCAAAACTTGTATATACCCGATCCTGGAAGGGCACCCTGGGGTCTGTAAAGAAGATGATGTGGTCCAGATGTTCAGGGGGCTTGAAGTCTATTTGGGGAAACAAAATGGCCACAAGTGAGATAGTTAGGAAATAAGTGTTAAAATGTCTGAGGAGGGAGGCACCACTGGGCTGGAGTAGTCAGGGAAGACTGCCTGCAGGAGGTGGAACCTGAGTGGGCCCTGGAAGGAAGGCTAAGATTTGGAGAGGTGGAGGGAAAGTGCACATGTAGAACTGAAGAGGGCAGGAGTGAAGGGCAGAGATGTGCCACCACCTGCTCTCACCTCTCCCGTGTATCACCCTGCCCAGCTGCAGCACTTGGCTTAACCATTGGTTAGTTCTTCATGGAGCCCGCCCTGACCCTGAACCAGGCTGTAGCTGCCACACTGGTGCACCCATAGCACCTGTTCACCTAAGTTTCCTACACATATCATAATTGTTGTGTACTGACTTGATGTGATTATTGGTCTGTCTCCTGTCGAGAAACACTCAACACTTGAGTGTTCCTCAAGCAGAGGTCCTGGGACAGCCTCCATCAGAATCACCTGCATGGCCATTAAAATGCAGATTCCTAGGCCCCCCTCTGGGGGTGGGATCCAGTAACCTGCCTTTTTATTTTTTATTTTTTTTATTTTTTTTTTAAAGATTTTATTTATTTATTTTTCCCCCAAAGCCCCAGTACATAGTTGTCTGTCATAGCTGCACATCCGTCTAGTTGCTGTATGTGGGAAGCGGCCTCAGCATGGCTGGAGGAGTGGTGCCTCGGTGCGCACCCGGGATCCGAACCCGGGCCGCCGGCAGCAGAGCGCACGCACTTAACCGCTAAGCCACGGGGCCGGCCCTAACCTGCCTTTTTAACAAGCTCCCCAGGTGATTTGTAACAAGCTCCCTTGAGGGCGTTGTTGCCCCCCTCCCCGGGCAAAGTCTGGAGACATTTTTGGTTGTCACACTGCGGAGAGGAAAGTACTCTGGCATCTAGTGGGAAGAGGCCAAGGATGCTGCTGAAGATGCTATGAGACATAGTCTGCCCCCAACCACGAAGGATGATGCCGCCCAAAGTGGCAATAGTGCTGAGGAGGAGGAGCCCTGCTCTAGACTGAAAGCTCCATGAGGGAGGATTCACTGTTTTGTTCCCAGGTACACCCTGAGCACCAAATATGGTGCCTGGTACATAGTAAGTTCTCCATAAATATTGGATAATGAAGAAATGATTGAAGGTGGTGTGTGTGTGTGTGTGTGTGTGTGTGCACATGCAGGGATAGTAATTGGAAGAGACACAGCGAAGAAATGGATCCAACTGGTGTAAGGGGGAATGTAGGGAAGAAGGGGATAGATATAATGCTGGGTCAGTAGCTTCAGTGAAGGGCTTTGTGGATTATGGCTTGGGAAGGACAGTTCGAACTTGGTTCAGCATCACAGGTTCATCACATATGGTCCTTGAGTAGGGTAGTGACGTGATAAAAGCCACTAGGAAGGAAGGTTATCTGGGCCTTGTAAGGAAGGGTTAGAGACGAGGAGAGGCTGGGAGGCTATTGTCATAGCCTGGTCAGAAGTGAGGAGAACCTGGGCGGGGGGAGATCCACTGTAGAGCTAGGGGCTGCCATTCTCTGCTTCTGTGCTGAGCTGGGTTGATGTACTCAGCAAAGCCTTCATTGTTTGCCACCACACAAAGAGCTCAGGGGCACAAAGATGGCAAGCTATTCCAGTGAGAATTCGGGACAGATGGCACCAGGAGGAAGTGGGGGATGTGAGTCAATGTGCATTCTTCTTTGGGCCCCTGGCCTCTCCCCGTGCTGTACAGTGGGCACTTCCAGAAGGCCCATCAGGAGCAGTCAGAACTCCGGGGACCCATCTTGCAATCACCTCTGTTAGTCAGTGTCTCTACTGGAGATAGTGCACAGTCTGTGGATTAGGAGGAAAAAGCAAGAAACAAAGCTGTGAAGTTTGCCCTTGATGTTTCTTGGCTTCCATGTCTGTTCTTGATTGAACAAATGCTTAATGGAGATTTATTATATGCTGAACATCCCACTATGTGCTGAGGACGATGGTGTGCAAGACAGACACAGTCTGTGGTCCCCTGGTGCTCATAGTCTATTGGAAAGACAGAAAGGCACATAAGACATACATAAGTCACACTAGGGGTGTGGAAAAGGGACACTAAGGATGAGGAGGGAGCCATAGTGAATCAGGATGTCTCAAGGTGCATGGAGGCATTTGGAGGGGGTCTTAAGGAAAGGGGAATGACCCATAGGCATAGGGGGAGGTGGAAGGAAGGGGAATGAAACCCAGCTGGACCAACAATTGAAAAGTGCAGGAGAGAGTTGAGTAATTCCACATAACCTGTGTATTACAGCTATATAGCTGGGGGCAGGGTGAGGCGGGCAGGGCCGGGTTAGGAAGAACTAAGTAGGAAACATGAGAAGGAGCATGTCTGGAGGAAAGAGGGTAACAAGTTTGAGTCTGGATCTGCTCAGACACTCAAGACAATCCACGTGGAGTTATCCAGCAGCTCGTTGGAAAGGAGCTCCAGAACTGCGGGTGGAGAAAAGCCATCTAGCGATGGAGATTTTGGAGTCACCAGCCATCAAAACCAGTGTTTTCCCAACTTTTATGATTGTTATCCACAGTAAGAAATATGTTATACCCAGGGATCTAGAACGCACTTACATACACATCCATCTGAAACAAACATTTTGTGAAACAATATTTGGCCTTATTATGAGAAATGTGCTTTAATATTTTCTATACTACTTCATTAAAAAAATTTCTGTTCTACTTCATTTAAAAAATAAATTCAGCCTTAAAAAGGAAGGAAATTCTGATGCATGCTACGACTTGGATGAACCCTGAAGGCATTATGCTAAGTGAAATAAGCCAGGCAGAAAAAAAGAAATATTGTATGGTTCCGTTTATATGAGATGCCTAGAGTGGTCAAATTCATAGAGATGAAGTAGAATGGTGGTTGCCAGTAGTTGGGGGTGGGGTGGGGTGGGATGGGAGAATAGGGAGTTAGTTTTTAATGGGGACAGAGTTTCAGTTAGGGAAGATGAAAAAGTTTTGGAGATAGATGGTGGTGATGGTTGCACAACAATGTGGATGTACTTAATGCCACTGAACTGTACACTTAAAAGTGGTTGAAATGGTAAATTTTATGTTGTGCATATTTTGCCACATAAAAAAGTTAAGAAAATATTCTGAGGGCAAACAGTGAATTAATTTAGGGTTGAAACCCTGAGTTAGAAAAACACTGGTCTGTTGGAGTTGGATGAAATCACCCAGGAGAGCGCAGAGTGAAAGATGACGACGGGGCAGGGGCACAAA